ATAATGTCTGCCAGCACTGAAACAGTTAATGGCATATTAGGAGCTGGTATACGGCTGCATCAAATGACATAATCAAGACCAATAATAAAGTCTTGGATACAGCCTGCAAAATGTGTTTGTTTTTTAATCCCATTGAAATCCTAAGATTTTCTTCGATGGATTCTTCCTTTCTTCTCTGTCCTTAAATTTCATTTAGATTTGGTGATTTTATATTTTCTAATATCCTTGGTCCATATGTGAGCCGTGCTGGAGTGTTTGAGAGGGCAATCAAGCATTTTATTCTACTTTCTGATCACACTCCTATATATCTGTCGCTGCAGGTAAAGCATTGGAACCTAATTCCTTCAGGCTTTTTATCTGCACAATAATTAAACCAGCTAATGGATGTAAATAAAATCCAATTGGTTTCATGACAGATGAAGCGAACAGGCCTGACAGGATACAGAGCAGTCTGATGTCAGATTATTCTAAAGTCATCTTTATAAAGTGTTAGATAGACCCAGTTACTATATTGATACTAATGTACCCAACTGGGGATGGGCTGCAGATATCTAAAGGAAAGCAATCACATTTCAAACTTAAGCAAAAATAGTTGATTAAGAACATTCTTTTAATCAGCTGAATTTCATACATTTTTCCACCCCAGGTTCAGAATGGTAAATTTGACAAGTGAAATTATTGAACTTAATGAAAGCAGTGAACTAAAAACCTAATTGGAAATTCAGACTAAATCGCCAATTTTCGACATTAGCTGATTTTCAAATCTGCACCTTTTCCCAATGAATTTTTCAATTCGGTTTTAATTTTACTGCAATTCGCTCTTTAATGAATAAACCCACAAAACATTACGTGAACAAGACCTAATTGAACATTCCTCAATTGAAAAAAAAAAAAAGGAAGAAATACAAGTAGATTTCCAGATTGTCATATACTACTTTTATTAAATGTATATATACTCCTGATATTTCTAAAGTTGGTTCTAAAATTACCGGATCTCTGCAAATAATCCCAGTGCTTAGTAAACAGACCCCCAAATAAGCTTTCTGTAGACAGTGGGTTAATGCATGCATGGGGCTCATTATGCAACACTTATCTCTCATATAAAACGGTTATTACAAGTTGCCAAACTCCATCCATCAAAACTTGAAAATAAAATCATTCTTTGTTATATTTTAGCCACTAATAGAAACAATTCGTTTCTTAAAAATTACACAATTATAAATAAAATAAGAAGATACAATTATTCTTATAATAAAAGTAATTATGATTTTTGTATGAAATGCACCCATGTTATAACTTCAATTTATGGAATTCTCATTTTATTCCAATATATTTTTATATTTTTTTACATTTTTTTTTAAAAAATTTTTTATTTAGTTTACTTCGCACTGTCTCAATTTAACATCCTCCAGAATCTTTTTAAGAGCAGGGCTTTTCCATATATACCTGTGTGAAGTCAAGTAAGATTCTGCTCTAGTTAGAAGAGAATAAAACACTATCCGTTTAGTGGCAGTCACAAGTTCAGCACCAAGGACAGCTGCACAGGAATTCTCCTATGAAGCCATGGTCCTGAAAGCAAGGAGCCAAATCATGACAGGTAACATTCAAATGCTAACTTGGCGCACCACTTGTTTCCAAACTACTTTTCCCATGATGCTTAGCAGGTGTTCACTTTAAATACACCAGAGATGTCACTGCAATAGACATCATTGTATTATTAATAATAGCTAATGGCAACCGTTTTTTCCCCCCTATCTTTAAGTTGATAGCTTAGTAGAAAATAAAAACAAGGCGATTTTACAATATTCATATTATCCCAATTTCTTAATTAGAATACGCAGTGAATAGGGGTAGCTTATAAAGTATAATGTCAATGAGAAGGAGCCAGGGGCAGATCAGAGGAAATTTGTATTCATTTCTTGCTCTTATTTGTTCAGTAATCTGTACCATCATGACTAAATCTTGAGGCACTGATGTAGTTTGAGTTGTTGTTGACTTAACGTCAAAATTCAATCACTGGGGGTTTTGCTTCAGCCGGACTACTTATTTGTCTAATAAATCCGTCATTTTGTAAGAAAAATATTTGAGCAGTCTCACTTGACCTCTTAGTATCCAGGAATCACATTTTCCCTAGCAGTTTACAAATGCAAAATCAAGATGATAATTTAATGCTCGGAGGTAAAGTGTTGATTCCTGATTGGATTTTAGATGGAAATGTCTATTTTAAATACCCCACGATTAAATTGTAAATATAATAAGATCTTTGCATTCACGACTGAATTGAGCTTTGCTTCTCAAAACTTTTAGAGCTTATTTAAAATTCTGATACTAAGGTTCCTACTTATGCAAGGAACACAGAATATCATACATATCATCCTGTAATTTCTTTAAAAAAAAATAGGGGTATTTTCCTGATGTCTAAAAACTTAAGTAATTGTTAATGTACTACTTTGCAGAAACATACAATCAAAAAATAAAATGCAAGCAGCAGTGGTATAGAAAACACAGGTTTTTTATATATATATATATATATATATATATATATATATATATATAAACAGAGTACTAATATATAACATTGTGAACTTTAAAATTTCTGTTTACTGAATGAGGTAGTGTGTGCTGGACCTTGTATTATATATAGATATAGATAGATATTATAGATATAGTAATAGACATTTCACTGGAAAAATACTACTACTATATATATTATACATATCTGTTTCAGTGAAATGTCCATTACTATATATATATTATATGTGTGTATAGTATATAAATAGTAAAAAAACAAATAAAAAAATAGAAAATAATTATATATATATATATATATATATATATATATATATATATATTAGTGCAGTGCTCTGTTTCAGTGCAATGTGTATTACTATATCTATATACTATACACACACACACACACACACACACACATTGCTCTGTTTCAGTGAAATGTCTATTACTATATATACTACACACACACACACACACACACACACATACATAAATGTGTGTGTGTAGTGTATATATATAGTAAATTACACCTATTTCAGTGATTTGTCTATTACTAGTGCAGTTGGAATAGTTCAGAAGTGAAGCCACAGAGAGAAGGCAATCTAGCTAATACCCTGGAGACCCAACTCTTGATGGTTGAACAATTGTAAAAATGTTGTAAAGGACACAGGGAAATAGGATTGCTGTGTATTCCCTAAACAGTGCAGATATGTGACTTAAAGTACATTTCTTCAACTAACATCTGATATTATCCATGTAGAATAAACTGTCAGCTCTGTTTGAAATGTCTTAAAATGTTTATAATCACTAAGCACTATTTTATATGTAGAAAGACTATGAAAATAATTCTGACAATATTTGGTGGATGAAAATAGTTTTTATTAATTTGGCGATTTGTTGATGCTATTTATTTTACATGCAGAAGTAGAAACAGAGTTCATTTTAACTCTTAAATTGTGCAATCCTTTCCATAATTTTATTTAGACAGTCTGCGGGAGCTTTGGTGTAGGTTTGGTGTAGGTTAATTGCAGTCTTTTATTCAACCCTTTTTATTTTATTTAGAATAATGTATATAAACCCAAAAGATACAGCCAAGCTCACAGTTCATTCATCCATTTTTGTAATCATATGTATTTAAAAAAAAATTATTGGGATTTAGTTACATTATATGATCATACATTGCATAAATGTGTTACAACGCTAGTGTAATGTATGTATATATATATATTTACAAGAATGGTGGAATTAACAGTGATCCTGGTTGTAGCTTTGGGGTTTATTCACTAAACAGTCATGAGTTGAAAGTCTTCCAGAAAGATTTCTTCCAACTCAATTATTTTGGCATACAATTTGCAATCTGATTATCATTTAATGACAACTAGTTGCTTAGTGAATAGACTCCTTTGGACCCCCTTAGGCTCATTTTCATCTGTGATGAGTGTCTGCTGGGGACTTGCTCTTGGCTGCTACCTTGCATAGTCTATACAATTGCTATGCTGCAATAGAAAGAGGAGAAGCAATTAAAAACCAGACACAACCATGATCTTGTTTTATTAAATCATTTATTAAAATATACATGAAACTTTCACAACAGGAAGTAGTAGACATACATATTTACAATCAGTAAATCACAAGAATCTGTTTTCTTTTTTTTACCTTTTTGAGTTCATTGGAAGACTGATAAATCGATTACTACTATAGTACTCTGTAATACAAATGTTTTATAGTCCCTAGAATAGACACAAAGGGTTTATCATTGAGTTGCAACTTTACAACTGACTTCATATTTTTAGGCAGAAAGTCCTCATTTAAAGAAAATGGCCCCCTCTACTAAATTGGGGGTCTTTGACTTTAAATATTGGATATTTTGGCCTACATTTTGTTAATCAGTTTTACATTCCACATAACTGATTAATTAATGTTGAAATTAACAAAACAGATTTTTTTATTTATTCACCTTAGACAAATTAGACCATCCAGGAATCTATGGTGCTCAATATATAACAGGTTACTAAAATTTAATACATTTAATAAAAAATGCACAGGGCCTGCTCTTTTTCCCACGTGTAATCTTTGTCACATTTATTCCTGTCAGTTTAAAACATAATGATCCTCTGATTGAAAAAAGTTTTGATTGTGCATGTTGGTATTTAAAAAGAATTAAGTTTTTGAATATTGACATTTTTTTGAAAAATGCTTTTAGATCCAGAACTTGCAAACTGAACCACAATGCACTGGGGATGAACAAAGTTGCCATCTGTAGGTAAGCATTTATTACCATTTTCTATTAATGACAAATGTAGTTTTTAATGTTATAATAATCACATATCCTTAATGGACACTTTATAAAGGCTCAGACTTTAGAAATATAATTTAATTGTGAAAAGGTGCAGTACTGTGGAATATCTTGCACTAAATAAATATAATAAAGAAAAAAACTAAATCAAATGTTTTTATTACATTGAGAATACATTCTGTATATCGGAATTGCTGAATACAAAACTAGTAGATATATGTTGTGAAGCATTTTGTAAACTTTTAAATGGGGCTCACGTAATAAAAAATAGTTTTATCAGGAATAATATATTTTCTCTCCTTTTCCAGTATGACATGAAGCATATATGTTAATATTAACAAATTTAATGATGCTTATTTCAACTTTAGAAGGATGAAAGGCTGAGTTGACCCTGTTAAGAACAGAATTTGCAGCCCTGAGGTTTGAACTATAGTTGATGCACTAACTGAACTGTCTATTTATTAACATATAGTTATAAAATTTGTACTAGAGGGTTTATGATTCCGATATTTATTCCTGGGAATTATTTTGTAAATTATTGTTTTGTACATAGACATCGATAGCAGAGAGCACAAAATAAAAAAAGATTATTAACCCCTTAAGGACCAAACTTCTGGAATAAAAGGGAATCATGACATGTCACACGTCATGTGTCCTTAAGGGGTTAAATGTACAGCACCTTCCTTTAATAAAGCAGGTGCCTTCATATTAGGCTATGTCCTCAAAAGTCCAACCTGAGACTAAGTCAGGTCATCTGATCTTTACTTGCACAGAAAAAGACAGAAGCTATTTTCTAATGAATATAACAGAAGGAGAGAGAGAAGGATGGAGATATATAATACTGGTGTGATAAGGTGAACCAAACTGTGCAAGCAGAATCCTATTAATCATTGGACAAGCTGGAGTCAGGATTTCAGAAATAATCAAGCTCACAAGTTCAGTAGGTCATGGGGTTTCTCAAAACTATGCTGTAAAAAAAAAACAAGTCTAGATCAAAAATCATGAACATGCTATCGAGCTGAAAGAAAACAGAAAAAGGTTACATGAGCAGTGAATATACTGGAATAAATAAGGAAATGGTGTGAAGTACATTTTGCTATTCTGGCTAAAAGCAAAAATGGACATGTATGATTTGGACAAACTCCAGCAAACATTGTCTGATTAGCTCTGAGTGTGTGTTATGTGATGGCAGGGCTTACATGTACAGAGAAATAGATGGAATTACAGGTAGGGTGGTGGTAACTGTTAGACAGTGACAGTCTGGTAGGAAAGCTTACTGGTTTAAAGTAGGATAAAATATCCATCCAGAAAAAAATCTGTCTACTGCAACATAAACTATTGAAATTGGCTTCTATTGTGTGAATCAAGCAAGGTATAGTTTAAGAAAGCTGGCTTTCTATACAAATACTATCAAGTCTCCTAATTGGAAAGTCTGCGATTTATGCTGGATATATCAGATCTGGTGCTCCTAATGTTATAACCCAACAATGAAAAACAGCTAAAAATAAAACCACAATTACACGACCGAGGCTGCCCCATCCTTAACAGAGAACCATTTAATATGGGGAAATAATTCCATCAAGGAGTCCAGGAGAAATAATAAATCAGGAGACTGAATCTTTCCATAGGCCAAAGAGATGGCATTTTCCCCTCCCAAATACATATATCCTATATTGCATAATATGTATAGAAAGAGCCATGTGGGAGTGTAACTCTCACTAAACTTGGCATGTGTTTCATTGTTCTGAGATTAGGGCCCTCAGACTGCATATGTGATTTGTGCATTATACCCCATTTATCTGCCTTTTGGTGTCAAGGAACTGGTCTAATCTATATAATTATCTCCCTAACACTCAGAAAATGTACTTTCACATGGAGGGGATCATCTGTAGTCCCATGGGTCAGCTAATAAATATGATGAATATGTCATGCTTGCATATTGGGCAGTTATATTGTATAGCTGTGACTGGGCACATTCATTATTTTGTTGAATGGGATTAAGAAACAAAATATAGATCCCTGAGATTACAGAGTAACTAATACTATGGTTTCATGTGCTATGGTCGCCGATGTGCATCTTGGTTTTGGCTTTGTAGTGAGATGGTTCAAATGCATTTAGGCTTCGAAGATTCCCAATCCTATGTCCCATTATAGAAGATTCCAAGTCCTATGTCCCATTATAGAAGATTCCAAGTCCGATGTCCCATTATAGAAGATTCCCAGTACTATGTCCCATTATAGCAGATTCCAAGTCCTATGTCCCATTATAAATGATTCCCAGTCCTATGTCCCATTATAGAAGATTCCCAGTACTATGTCCCATTATAGCAGATTACAAGTCCTATGTCCCATTATAAATGATTCCCAATCCTATGTCCCATTATAGAAGATTTCAAGTCCTATGTCCCATTATAGAAGATTCCCAGTACTATGTCCCATTATAGCAGATTCCAAGTCCTATGTCCCATTATAAATGATTCCCAGTCCTATGTCCCATTATAGAAGATTCCAAGTCCGATGTCCCATTATAGAAGATTCCCAGTACTATGTCCCATTATAGCAGATTCCAAGTCCTATGTCCCATTATAAATGATTCCCAGTCCTATGTCCCATTATAGAAGATTCCCAGTACTATGTCCCATTATAGCAGATTACAAGTCCTATGTCCCATTATAAATGATTCCCAATCCTATGTCCCATTATAGAAGATTTCAAGTCCTATGTCCCATTATAGAAGATTTCAAGTCTTATGTCCCATTATAGCAGATTCTCAGTCCTATGTCCAATTATTGAAGATTCCAAGTCATATATCCCATTATAGCAGATTCCCAGTCCTATGTCCCATTATAAGAGATTCCCAATCCTAAATTCCATTATAGCAGATTCCCAGTCCTCTTGTGAGGAACTGACTCTTCTGGGTTTCGAACCCTGGTTTACATGGTGCTAAACCTTTTCCTTACCAGTACACCAGCCTGCATTTTGCAAATTTACCTGAGATCTGATACTATTGCTTGTAGAGTCAAGGTTATCAGTGACAACTCACTTCAGCTGTGTCTGGTCAGGTGTCTGGTTCTTGGCCTATAAAAGCCACTTCCTGTCTCTGTACCTTTGCCAGATTATTGTGGTTCCTGTACTCTCTAATCCAGCGTGTTCCTGTTTCTCCTTCCTGTTGCTGAATTTGGACTGTTTTTGACTTTGCTGCTTCTCCTTCCCACTGACCTCGGCTTGCCTCACTACGATTATCATCTTTCTGTTCCAGTCTCCCATCTCTGCTTAAGACCAGAAGGCCACTCAAGGCTCAGGGGCTCAACCACCTGGGTAACGAGTGGCTACCTCTGGCAGAAAACATTGCTGATCTGGCTACTGGACTCCAAAACTTTGTAACATCAATATCATTACAGAATAATCTGGCCCATTCATGGAGACCGTCGGATCAGATTCTGCATTGGCCCAGCAGGTTGCTTTTAATGCAAGAACTATGCAGACCCAGGCACAGACCATTCAAGTGCTGCAGGATCAGGTAGCTGAACTGCAAAATGAAGTTCGATCAATGCATAGTGAGCTTACCAGCTACAGGGCACATGATGTTGCGGCTGCTGCTACTACTACTGTTACACCTGCACAAGATGCCCGCTTGCCTCTACCAGAAAAATTTGGAGGAGACCGCAAAAAATTCAGGGGTTTCCTAAATCAATGCCGTTTGCATTTCATGATGTTACCTAACCGTTTTCCATCTGAAAGAGAGAAGGTGGGATTTATTTTTTCCCTCTTCAAAGATGAAGCCCTGGCCTGGGGCTCCCCTTTTCTGGAACAGGACAGTCCAATCTTGGGAAATTTAAAAGACTTTCTTGAGGCCATGTGCCTAGTTTTTGATGATCCCAATCGCTGTGCTACAGCAGAAGCCACTCTCCTTCATTTACATCAAGGGAGGCGCTCTGTGGCTGAATATGCTGCTGAATTCAGACAGTGGGTTACTGATACTACTTGGAACCAATCAGCCCAGAGGTTCCATTTCAGAAGGGGTCTCTCAGAAGCTATAAAAGATGAGCTAGCTCGTGTTGATCTTCCTGTTGAGTTTGATGCATTTGTGCGGTTGGCTATCCGTATTGATCGGAGACTTTCAGAAAGAAGATTGGAAAGACAGGGCTCTTTTAAACCAAGTGCTACTCCTACTTTCTATTCAAGAATTTCTACTCCGACCCCACAAACACCTACAGACTCTGAACCTGAGGCTATGCAGGTAGATCTAATAAGAGGGCCATTATCCAATGAAGAAAAACAGTGGCGACGCACTCACAACTTATGCCTGTATTGTGGTAGTGCAGGGCATTATGCCATCAATTGCCCTAACAAGTCTAAAAGAACAATAGCTATGACTGCTGAGGGTGCACAGATTCAACACCAATCCCAGATTTCAGACCAACTGGATTCTGTCACACAACCCTTGTTTTCTCTGGCTCAGGGTGAAGAAGGTATGATGACTCAACATCCTCATTTGGTGGTGCCTATCACTTTGCAATATGGTGATAATAAAATTTCAACTACAGCTATGATAGATTCCGGAGCAGGCGGAAACTTTATGGACATTAAATTTGCAGCAGGAAATAAAATTCAGTCTATCCCTAAATCTTCACCTGTGTTAATGGAAACAGTAGACGGTTCTCCACTTACGTCAGGCCCGGTTACACATGAGACTGTGCCCTTAAAATTGATTCTGGAAGTGAATCACCATGAGTCTATATCTTTCCACCTAATTTCCTCAACACAGTTTCCAGTGATTTTGGGTATACCCTGGCTTGCTCTGCATAACCCACAGATTGATTGGAAGACTAGAACTTTGTCCTTTCCTTCAGAACACTGCTTAATGAATTGTCAACCCTCTAAGGCGACACCTGTTACCACAACAATTAATGAAATGGTTGCTACAAACTTAACTAAGCTTCCGCTACAATATCGGGATTTTGCAGATGTCTGTGATAAGAAGAATGCTGATCAGCTTCCACCTCACAGGCCTTATGATTGCCCCATAGAGCTGCTACCTGGAGCTGCTATCCCATTTGGCCGTATATACTCCCTTTCTGAGCCTGAATTGAAAGCACTTCGTGAATACATACAAGAAAATCTTGCCAAAGGCTTTATTCGACCATCCACTTCTCCAGCAGGAGCTCCTATATTCTTTGTAGAAAAGAAAGATGGCAGTCTACGGCCATGTGTCGATTACAGGGACATTAATAAAATCACTGTTAAAAACCGTTATCCCTTGCCTCTCATTCCTGAACTTCTGGAGAGACTTCGTTCAGCTAAAATATTTACGAAGCTTGATCTACGGGGGCATATAATCTGGTTCGCATAAGACCAAATGATGAATGGAAAACAGCTTTCAGAACCAGGTACGGACATTACGAATATCTAGTAATGCCATTTGGGCTTTGTAATGCCCTGCAACTTTTCAGCATCTAATCAATGATGTACTACGGGATCTCCTGGATCAGTTTGTTGTGGCATATTTGGATGATATCCTGATATTTTCTGATAATCTTGAAAATCACAGAAAACAGGTCTGCATTGTTCTTGAGCGCCTTCGTACCCACCACCTATACATTAAACTGGAAAAATGTGAGTTTGAACAAACAGAAATTCAGTTCCTGGGGTATGTAATAACTCCTAAAGGTTTAAGTATGGATGCAAGTAAAATTAAAGCTGTGCTGGACTGGCCCATCCCCAAGAATGAAAAAGATATACAGAGATTTGTGGGGTTTGCCAATTTTTACAGGCGTTTCATTAAGAATTTCTCTGCCGTTATTACACCGATCACTGAACTTACACGTAAAGGGACTCCTTTTCAGTGGTCCAATAAGGCTGACACTGCATTTTCCAGATTAAAGACTCTGTTTACATCTGCCCCTATCTTGGTACATCCTCAGCCAGAATTGCCATTTACTGTAGAGGTAGATGCTTCTGATTCAGCTGTTGGGGCTATACTGTCTCAAAGGACTGGACCTAAGATGTTGTTACATCCATGTGCCTTCTATTCCCGCCAGATGTTACCAGCAGAAAGAAATTATGACATAGGGAATAAAGAACTTTTGGCTATAAAAGCTGCCTTCACCGAATGGAGACATCTCTTGGAGGGAGCCACCCATCCAATTACTGTCCTCACAGATCACAAAATCTGGAATGTATCCAATCCGCTAAGAGACTGTCAGCCAGACAAGCACGCTGGTCCCTATTTTTCTCAAGGTTTAATTTTTTTATTTCATACCGCCC